GCTTTCTAACTAGGGTTTTGGAAAGAGGGCTCTTAGAGAGAGTAGAAGTGTGAGAGATATGATTTAGAAAAGTGTTTGGATCATAATATAACACTGTTGTCCTGACCAGGCCGCCTGAGCGAACTTTCCATCGCTCGAGCGACGTGCCAAAATAGAAATGAACAGCTCAAGCGAAATTTCCACCGCTCAAGTGGTAAATGCAAGGTTTCATAAGTTTTGTAAAGCCACATTGAAAATACTGGGAGCTCACATTTTATGCTCGAGCGATCATTTCTTTGCTTGAGTGGTCTCGCCTACAAACTTGCGAGATACTGGGAGCTGCAAATCTGGGCTTGAGCGGCCAAATGACCACTTGAGCGGTCACCCAAAAATAGCTGTTACGTAACGAATATAGAAAAGAGAGAGAGAGAGAGAGAGAGAGAGAATAAATCCATAATAACATTAATGAAATTCCATAACTATCTCTTTCCCATTGAGCTATTCTAGTGATTACATCATGTGTTTGTTTACGTCTATCAACAAAATAATAATAGTTCAAAAGAAAAGAGATAATGTAAAGGAAGAGCCAAAAGGGCAAACATCATTTCAAGGAGTGTCCTTGAATACACACAAATGGAAGCCTAAATTCCCAAACAAGAATAGCCCGAAGCTTAACACAAAACATCAAAAGAGAGCTTCCATCCAAAAATTCTTCACCAAGCTAATCATTTAGGTGGCGCATCCATATCATTTCCTAAAAGATGGTTAGTTTGGGGTGAGCTAGTGCTCAATAGAAAATACATTTAACAAGTTATATAAATATTTGAGATGCATATGATCATGCCATGCACTTGTAAGGATAAAATTCATATTTTCTCTTTTAAAATTTATAATGCTCAATGCACAATTCCAATTTAGACACTCATCCACAATTCAATTCATATTTCCACATTTCCCAACTAAAAAAAAGAAGGTGGCCAATAGGCACGCAGAAACCTTTCCCTCTCCACTTTTGCCAACTCTTGAAACGGCAGGCTTGTGGACACCCAAAATCAAGTTTTCCACAAATGCCAACTCTATAAATGGCAAGCTCGTGAACACACAAAAACCTTTCCCACATTCGTCTGGCTATATGAGTAGATAGAGCAATTGGGCACCTTCACTCCCCACGCGAATACCAAATACAAAATGCAACTCAATTCCGGAAATCAGACTCAACTACTCGAACTCATACGCTATTTACCCCATTGACATTTTCCAAACATCCACTAGATTGTAAAATCACATGAGAAAATTATAAGGAAAATGCTATAGGTCCCAAATTTTCTACCAAACAAATGACCAAATGTCTCACATAAGTGGAGCCCACACCCATGTAAGACATTTGGTCATTTGTTTGGTAAAAAATTTGGTATTCCTAGCATTACCCAAATTATAAAGCACATGATGCATGACTTTTGAAATCCAATTTTCCTAAGGTTTGTTCAATTCACAACAACATTTAATTGTATCAGCAATAAAGATTTTCTCCAATCCCACCATTTATCACAATCTCAAAATTCATCTACTTTAATACATTTATCCAAGAAAATTCAATAATCTCATGTCTCAACACCATGTCCATAATCATTTGCCCAATTTCAAGATTTATGAGTCAATTTGGCCAAACCCATTATTTTTTAAAAAAATTAGGGCTTTTAGGAAAAAAAAATTGGGGCTTTCCTCCCATTAGCATATAAAAGTCAATATTCATTCCTAACATAAAGAATCAACAAGAAACTCTTACTATCTATCTCAAAAATTTTAGATACAAGCTCCCATTAACTAAACAAACCACTTTAATCTAAAAAAACATCTCATACCATATTATACCTAAGAAATTTCCACATTTGCAACTCAAATCAAGAATATAACGAGTTAAAAATACCCCTACCTCAAGATTGAAGGAAAAAGGTGAATACCCAACTTCAAGCTTCAAGCAATGAGAAAACAATCAGTAATACAGTTGATCTAAGCTTGTTCTTCATCCCTCTTTGAAGATTGAAGGTGGCTCTTGGTAAAAATCATGGGAATTCGACTGTTTTGGGCTAGGGTTTCAAAATAAGGTGCTATAGAGATAGAAGAGTTGGAAAAAGTGAAAAAATAGTGTTTTGTCGACTTTTAAGTGAACTATCCTGACCAGACCACTCGAGCAAACTTTTCACCGCTTGAGCGGTAAACGCAATGTTCCAAAAGTTTTGCAAAAGCTATAGTGAAAATACAAGGAGCCTGGATTCTGCACTCGAATGACCACTCCATCACTCTAGCAGTCTCACCTGCAAACATGCAAGATACTAGAAGCTGCGCATCTATGCTTGAGCGACCAAATGACCTCTCGAGCAGTCACCCAAAATCAACTATTACAAATTAGGCTATGGTGACTGTGGAAATCAATGCAACCAGCTTTTCACCTCTACCTACTGTCTCTGAGCTACCACAACGACAACGTTCCCTTTCGGCCACGATCTCAGCCCCCCACCGCCATCTCAACCCACACCGCTACGATCTACCACTACAACGAGAGAGAGAGAGAGAGAGAGAGAGAGATCCAATGTTATGGTGTAGGAACCGAGACGGGGTTGACGGACAAGATGAGGATGACAACGGCGATGAGAAGAGAGGGAGTCTGAGGGGGAGACAAAAATAATCAAATTTCACAACAACAAAGATAGAAATGCCCTCTTGTAAAGTCTTCATCCAAAAGTCTAACTAAAACTAATTATTCACATTATTATAAACATAATTAATAATTGAATTACAAATTAGTTTAGTATTTGACTTAAATTTATGTTTACTTGAATTAGCATTTGATAATTTGAAACTAGGTGAAAATTTATTTTAAAAAGGCTATTAATAGCGGAAAGAGAAAGCAAATAAATGTAGGAAGAAATAGATGGCCATTTAATGTTTATCATCTAGGTTTTTCTGTAAATCTTTGGTTTCGTTTTGAAAGTGGGTTGACTTTTTAGCTTTTTGACTTTTTTGGCTATTTTAACCTGGGGCTAAAAAACCTGGTTTGGGAATGGCTTTTGGCTTTTTTGACTTTTTTGTGAGAGAAGGAATGTAATGATTATGGGTTGGATGTGATGTTTTGTCTTATTGGGCTAAAAAGCCTATTTTGTTTATTGTGGCTATTTTAGCCAAAAAAGCTCCAAACCTCTCTTCCCAAATGGAGCCTTGTCAACTAAAAAAATTGGTTATTAATTGAATGAGAGAGAAGTTTTGAAGTTGTCAATAATCTCATCTCTATCGTTAACTATTTGTCACCGAGAAAATTTTTAGATCTAAATTTAGATCTAATTCTTCACTGAGATCCAATACTGATAACGCACTTTTATACTTTAGACAACCACTTCAAACTAGAATTCTTATTTTGTAATGTAGAGGTAGGAATTAAGGTACGATAGCTACCGGCTGTGACAATAAATGAACCATGAAGATGATTGGTAATGTTTGTTTGGTGGTGATTGTTTTGATTTTTTTGATTATATTTTGTTTTATTTTTATTTATTTATTTATTGTGTTGCAACAATGCCTCTTTGTATAGAGGCTTCCTCCTTTCATGGAGATTTTCTTCTCTATGCGTGGAGGTTTATTTTTGTTCATATGTGGAGACGCATATTCTCCTTACGTGGAGGTATAGTGTCACTACACTAGTGGCATGTTCTTAGAAAATGTCACAAAAATAATATTTGGTGACCTGTTTTAGAAAAATGCCACAGAACCACAAACATATAAGGCTCTAGTGGCATTTCAATAAAGAAATGGCACATCAATTTTATGGCATTTTATAAAAGAATGGCACGAGAAATTATTTTGGTGACATTTATCAACAGATGCCACTAAACTTTAGTAGCAATGGCATTTTTTGTTTTTAAATGTCACTAAACTATGTAGGTGCAAGTTACTTTTTATGGTATTAGATGAAAAGTGTCATAAACAAATATTTTATAGCATTTTGAGAAATGCCACTAAGCCAAAAACTTTCCAAGCCATCTAATGGCATTTTTTTTTAAAAAAAAAATGGCAATATATGTTCAAAATTTTCAAAATGCACAAAATAAATAAAAAAACAAATAAATTAAACTCAATATAACATGTTTTTTGAAATATACTTGCCACATGTACAAAATTGATCAACTGCTTTATATGACTTAACAGGAAAAATAAATTTTCAAATTGCTCTCCTATACAATGATAAAGTTTCTTGAATTTTAGTCCATGTAGTTTCAATTAACTCGATTTTGACTATGAATTTACAGATTTATCTCAATTTATTTCAATTGCTTATAATTGTTGAGTAAATTACATCAATAATCCTTACATATTGTTAGCCCATATAGTTTTAAATAACTCAATTTTATCCCTTACTTTTAGATTTTACGTCCATTTAGTCGAATTGATAACATCTTTCGGGTCTTTGATAGAAAATTTTCATTGGATTGGTAAAGGTGAAGTCACTGAATTGACCAAGTATTTTGTTGAGGTTAAATCCTAAAACGATGATAGGTTGCATTTGTCATTAAAAAAAATGCTATCAATTGGACCAATATATTGACAACATAAATAATTTGAGGTTAAAATCGATTCAATTGAAATTACAAGCACTAAAATGACAAAATAGCCAAAATAGAGGGACTAATAGTGTAATTAGCCCTAATTGTTAGCATTTTTAATGACAAATATGCATACAAGTGACATATGTCATTCTTTTAGAGGTAAAATAATAAATCAGCTCAACCCGTTTAGTTAACCTCAACAAATTCAGTGATCATTTTTCATCAAAAACACAAACGTTATTATTAATTGGACTGAATTGACACAAAATTAAAACTTACAGGTTGTAATTGATTTAATTAAAAATATAAGGACCAAAATTAATATTTTTTTAATTTAAAATATGAACAAACTTAATCATATGATCCATCTGGTCTCATTCTCCACTATATATATATATATATTATAAAACAAAGGAAATAAGGAAACTCAAAGAAACAAACCAAATTTGAAAGGAGCAGAATCCGCAGAGCTGATCGACATAGAGACAGAGGTGGAAGTCCAACAATTCAGAAATTGGTGAAGGAAATTTGATTTTGGCAGGACAAAGAGGCGGGAGACAAATAATGGAGCAAGGGTTTATCATTCTTCATCTTTCATGCCATCTTTATCTACCAGCTACGCCACAAATTTGTTGTGTTTTCATCTTCTATGATCAGAGTTCATTAGGTATTCTTTCTCTCTTTCTCACTTTCATCAAGCACACACAATACCTCTATCTTTGTCACTTATTTATGATCTTCTTGTGTTAGGCATAAAACTTGATACAATCTTGAAAATCTAATCTTTTAACTCATGAATTTGTTAATTTTCATCTTTTAATATAAAAAGTTAGTTGTGATTTACTATTATTGTATTTGTGATGTGATTTTATATAATGTCATGCAAGTGTTTGTTTAACTGCTTCAGTGGGATGTGACATTATTTTGCTCTGTTTTTGTTTTTATTTTCATTTTTTACCCTTTTATGTTTGTAAGGATGAATAAGATGACAAAATAATACTAATCTCTCTTCACACCATTAGTTCAAGAAAGATTCTAAAGCCACATCTATGTTTTTTTTTTTTTCTGAATTCATAAACATGGTGTTCCTAAAAGTCCCAATACTGTTATGGAAAATTGAGCACTTTTTTAATGCCATGGTATTTCTGATTATTCAAACATTTAAAAAAAGCAATATCAATAATAGAATTAACCAAAAAAATTAAGATAACCCTTCACAACTACATAACAATTGATTCAACACTAGCAAGAACCAAACTTTATATATATATATATATTTTTTTTTTTTTTTGAACTAGCCAAAAAGAAATTTTATTGATAATGATCAAGCAATAATACATTGACAATCATTAATAAAAAATAAAAAGAAAAAAAAGAGGGGGTGCAAAGAGCATCATAACAAAACAACCCGATCCCAACTAGGTTGGCACCGAGAAGCATGTCCATTCATTTGTTAGCACCACCCAAAGTTGGTAAGACACCAACCCAAAAAGCACAAATAACACCAATAGATGAACACCAAGAAGAAAACCTCTAGCAACAAATAGTTCTATATCAGCAGCCCAGTACAAATCTACTCCCCAAACAGTATCTAATTTGCCTCAAATTGGTCAAGAAATCTTGTACAATGAAATGAAAATCCTTAAATCTTTGGTTCAACAACAATGCTACTCTTATCTTAATCAAATCACACAAGTCCTCCAACTTAGGTGTAGCTGCTTGAAAAATGCACTCATTTCTAAAAGTCAGTTTGGATTAGTACCTTGGTTGACTAGACCCCCAGCTGGTCTCCAATCCATTGTGTGGATTTCACCCCTTGACAAAAAGAATGTCTCCACTGTCCATAGTATTCACTTTCATAATTTTCTAGTTCCTACTGACTCTTGAGCCCTATATTTGTTTTTGAATGCTCACAGATATACCAGAATAAATAATTAAGGTTAGTCTGGAAGTCAGCTTAAATATATCGTCTTGGACAAGTATAATCTCTCAGACGATATACCAATTGACCAGTTTTAATAAGTTCCTTAGCATTAGATTCCCATAGGAAACCTATAAGTCTCAACCTTTAACAGACAGGATTCAGAATTCACTCTTTCATGATCAGGCATGGACAACTGTACTATATCAGATTAGAAGAGACAACCATTTAATACTATCACCGTACCATTGTCTATGAGAGACCAAACCAGTTCTATAGATTGGATAAGCTTACTAAAATAGGATGGCTTTAGGATCAGCAAGTTCTTATATTAGGCAAATTTCTCAAATTCCAAACAGCAAGAAGAGGGAAAATTGTCTGGAGGCGGGTTACTCTATATGCATCACATACAGATAAAAGCAGAGGCAAATGCACTAGAAATGTGGAAGAAAAATCTTATATAACTTGTAAGAAAGAAAACACAAAGTTATACCCTTGAAGCCTTAGTTGTAGAAATTGATCTAACCTAGGAATTGCTTCTTGGAACCACTGAGGGTGGCGACGAAGGAGAAAGAGGAGTTCAAGGAGGAGTGAGAAGCCTATGAAATGAAATGGTATAACAATAAATCAGAAAGCCACAATACAGAGTAGTTGCTTGGTATTTCAATCAAGTTTCACCAAAGTAACTATCATAGCACAAGAAAGTGCTTCATAGAGATGTCAAATTTCCAATTAACCAAAATAAGGGCATCTGGTTTTAACTTGTTTGTATCCTCAAAATACTATATATATATATATATATATAAATAAATAAAACAAACAAACAAACCTAGTTTCTTCAAGACAATTGTGAGTAGGGAACTTATGCATTAAAAATAAAAATAAAAAAGAGCAAAAAGATGTATTTCAAATCCAAAATCATCATTCGGAAAGAAGTTCATGCTGAATTTTGTGCAAAAGGTTTGAAATTTTTTTTAAGTTTATTGGGAGACATGCTTCAAGGTGTTAATCAAAAGAAGACCCTCTGAACAGCCAGAAGCATTAGAAAAAAGTAAAAAAATTAATTGGTTGTACATCTATTTCCCAAAGAAAAAGTTGTGTGATGTTAATGTGAACATGCCAGGACGAAACTTGGTTTGGGTGTGAAAGTTAGGCAGTTTGACAATCAATCCCCAAAGTTTTGTCTACAAAAATTCCCAACACAAAAATATACTAACATGACCGAGGTAGTTATTACCTTCTTCCTCAGTTCCAATCAAGTCTCTTGAGAAGTGAGTGCATGTGTTGAGGTAGGGAGAATTCGGATAGCGCTTATAGTCTAACCCAAATTCTATCTTTAATTTATGACCTTTAGTCCTTGGCTCTATCCCATACAGTATACATACTTTCCTTTATCGAATCTGCACCTGAACACCTTGAACTTATTCCAGGCCTTAGGGAACTTATTCCAGGCCTTAGGCCACGAAGGTACCACTGTCTACCTCTAGGCCTTTGACATTCACTTCTAGGCTTATTTTGTCACCACTACTAGGTCTTGATATTCTGAACATTTTCTTTGTTAAGACTTTAGCAAGGAAAAAACCTCTCCACTCCACCGCCAAAATGAAATTTTCTTTGTAATTCTCAACCTTCTACATGAGGGGTGCCGTCTTTCATAAATAATAAATAAAAAGCATCTCACAACTAGCTTCATCTTTCCAGGGGATTGAACAGTAACATTTCAGTTGTGTTTTATTTCATCACTGGGTTATATTCCTACCCGACTGTCAGTATGTCGAACTTGTGACAATGCATTTAAAATAGATATCATGGTCAACTTTGATTATGTTGGGTTTTGGGAATATAAAGCCATAGAATATAGTCCTTTATAGAGAGGAATAGCCACTTAGAATCCAAGTAAGTGACCCCAACTGATTGGGACACAAGACTTTGGTTTGGTTTGGATTGGTAGAGGGAACAATTGATAGCTCTATGTTTTGCAATTCTATCTACTTTTCAATGGTTTCATTGGCGGAAAAAAAATGCTTAGATTCCATGAGGGTTTTCTACATTAAAAGACAAACTTGAAATAAAAAGCTCACTAGAAAAGCAATTATCTTTAAAATCTCTACTCTGCTTCTAATACATTCCCAATTCCTACAATTAGTGCCAACTGTTGGAACTACACGACAATCAATTCAATATAAACACATTCTTTATGTGGCATCTTAGCAAAATCTACCTATTTAAGAGAAACTATTGCTATTTATCGTTAGCTTCAGATTAACAACTAGGGACTCTAGATGTTAAAATAGATTTCCCAATCAAGATAGCAAGAGTGGCTAAATAATCAGGCTTCTGCTAATACCATATATACACATCTCAAGTGGTTGAATAACTTCGTATCACATATAAAATTGAGAGCCGACAAATCAAGTAAAAAAATTGCATACTAAGAAAGGTTCTCTACTTGACACCATCAATTGAGTCAGTTATGCTTTCAACCAAAACAGACAAAATACAGAGAAGATTCAAAGCTTAAAATTAACAGAGATGGCCCTGTTAGGAATTGACCCTTCCTAACCAAGATCGGTGAGACACGAAATAACAAACAAAGAAGAAAAAATGAATCAAACAAATCACACACACAAGAACACACGGACTTACATGGTTCACCCCAGAATAGGGCTACGTCCACGGTTGCTACAGTTTTCACTATGATCAGAAAAAATACAACTCTCTTCACCTAAAAGAGGCGCCCCCTCATCTATTTATAAGTATAGAATTAGGGTTACACGGAAGCAACATGGGAATTACGAAAGTACCCAAAAAAATTTGGCTAGAGGGCTCGACCTCCCTCCTCCTTAGCGGAGGCCCCCCCAAACCCCTCTTTCCCCATTGAATCCAGTGTTTGAGTAAATAGTAGGATTGAGTGAATAGTACTTATCAGGGTCAACTGACCCAACAAGCCTCTGATCCTTTCATAACAAGTGTTGTCTCTGAAAGTGTTGTATTATTAATCATATAAGGCACAAGTAAAATTGAAGAAATTATTGTGCCAGCACAATTTCACTTTAGCATCAATGATTAAAAGAGATTGAACAAGAAGAATAAAAGCGAGTTCCTAATTTCCATTAGTTTAACTCAACATGATCTTCCTAGGTTGTCTTCCTTGGGAGTTTGGGATGTAATAGCATTGCCTAGACAATTCTTGCTTGGAAAGAGCAAAGGGGAGACACAAATGTATGGGGGAAAGAAGAGGGGACAAGTCATAAATATTGATTTGTCCTCGTAATGATTCTTCAAGACCAAATGTAAATACATATATATATATATATATGTAGTTATACACATTAATATATATGGTACTAGAGAATATACAAAATACATATATACTAATACACATGGTATAAGGAATTAATAAATTAAAGAAAAATATAATATATGCAATCATATTTCTAAGGTTTAATATGCATTAGAACAAAAATTCAGGGCTTAAAGTGGGCTAATCAAAAACTCAAGGTTCAGAGAATAATTATTAAAATTTAAGGCCTCCATAAAGGAAACTAAAGAGTTGTAGAAATAAATATACCAATAACAGTGAGGGAAATCCATTAAAGAAATTCGTCATGAAAATCTATTACCGCAATATATTGCAAAAATAAAATAATTTACCATATAAATTAATATGTAAAAATTCGGGTTCTCACATCCACATTTCCTTTTTCTTTTTATGGCAAGTATATTAGTTCCAATGTAATACAAACTTGTAGAAACCTGATGTAATACAAAACAGATGACACTTTTTTCTTCATGAATATTTTTTTTTTTTTTTGTGATTGAAGAAAAAAAAAAAAGATAAATCAGATTTTATAAATATTATGCCCCTTTCAAACTACACCACAATGAGTCATACATAACACCAGTTTTGTACAATGCTTTCTTCACATTTCCAAATCTCCACTACCATTTGAATTGTTATTAAAATAATGATATTGCATTGACTTTGTAATACTTAAATTCTTTTACATGTTTTCTCTTGACATGAGTTGCCTTATAATCATGCACCAATATATTGAATATGTTTTGTTCCACATTGTTGTTAGTATCTTATAGTTCTTGCAAAATCAAGTTTAGTTGTTTTCGTCAATCATAACTTACAAATATTTGTTATTGATATATGCATTTTTTAATGTTGTAGAAACATTTTGGACACTTGTTTAATCGAGATTGTTTACTTATGGATAAGACTTGGATGCATCGATCAAGATTAAGTGATGCATACCAGAAAGGAGTTGACATGTTTCTTGATTTTGCGTTTACTAGTGCAAGTTATGAGGATAACATCATATGTCCATGCATCAAGTGTGGATTTACCATTTCTGTCGCTCGGTCAGTTGCATATGATCATTTAGTATGTGATGGATTCATAAAGGGTTACACTAAATGGGTTTTACATGGTGAAGCATCAGCTGTTGCTACAACGGGTCTTGATATGCACATGTAGAGTGGGCCACAATTAAATATTGATACAAATGGATTAGCACACGAGGCATTTGGAATCTCAAATGATGATGACAGGGTCGATGGAAATAACCTTGAAGATCTGGAACCAAATCCACAAGCAGAGAAGTTCTACAAGTAGATACATGATGGACAAAAGGAGCTTTATCCACAATGTAGAAATTTTACGAAGCTCTCATTCATCCTTCAGTTATTTCATATAAAGAATTTATGTGGATGCAGTAATGATTTGTTCACTATGTTATTAGAGTTATTGAAAGAGGCATTCCTAGGGTGTAACACTGCCTAATACTGTTTATAACGTTGAGCAGATAGTTATGGAGTTAGGACTTGGTTGTGAGAAGACTCATGCATGTCCCAATGATTTCGTGTTGTATAGGAATGAGCACAAAACCGATTCTGAATGTTATGTTTGCCATACATCTAGGTATGTAACAGACCGAAATGATTCAGACAGTGGGGCATCCTCTAAAAAAGGGAGCTATAAAACAATTTCTAAGGTTCTACATTACTTTCCTTTGATACCAAGGCTGCAAAGGTTATTCATGTCATCCAAAGCAGCATTATCTATGAAGTAGCATAAAGAAGGTCGCACTAATGATGGTTGTTTGACACATCCTGCCAATTCTCTAGCTTGGATGACTTTTGACCATTTACACCCTGATTTCGCAGCAGATTGTAGAAATGTCAGACTCAGTTTGGCGTGTGATGGTGTGAACCCTTTCAGAACATTGAGCAGCACGTATAGCACCTGGTCTGTAATTCTTATACCATATAATTTGCCTCCATGGATGTGTATGAAGTAGACCAATTTCTATTATCATTGATTATCCCTGCTCGTAGTGCACCTGGAAATAATATTGATGTGTATTTGCAACATTTAATAGATGAATTAAAGGAATTACGGGTGGATAGAGTAGAGACATATGATACATCAAGTAAACAAAATTTCCAATTGCGTGCAGCATTAATGTACACTAACAGCGGCTTCCCTGCTTATGCTTATTTGTCAGGGTGGAGTACTAAGTGGAAGTATACATGCCTTTCATGCCACAAAGACACATGTTTTCAGTGGTTAAAGCATGGCCAAAAACATTGTTACATGGGTCATCGTCGATTCTTGGACAAACTTCATGCATTTCGAGATGATGAGCGATCTTTTGACGGTACAAAAGAAAAAAGAACTGCACCCAATCCTTTAACTGGTTCTATGGTATTGGATATGTTGCATGGCTTCAATATTACTCATGGAAAGATAAGTACTAATCCAGAATTACCATATAATTGGAAGAAAAGAAGCAGATTCTTTGAATTACCATATTGGAAGGATAATCTAGTGCGTCACAATCTTGATGTAATGCACATTGAGAAAAATGTATGTGAGAGAGTGCTTGCAGCACTACTGAATTTAGAGAGGAAGACAAAGGATAATCTAAATGCACGTCTTGACTTGAAACTTCAAGGTATAAGGCCTGAACTCCATCCAAAAGAAAATGCAACAAATAAAACCATCTTGCCTCATTGTTTCTCATTAACGAAACAAGAAAAATATGCTTTTTATAAATTTTTAAAGACTGTTAAAGTTCCTAATGGTTATGCAGCAAATATTTCACGATGCATCGACTTAAAGCAATGTAGAATCTTTGGACTTAAAAGTCATGATTGCCATATTTTGATGCAACAATTACTTTCTTTAGCAATTAGAGGAATGTTGAGTTCACTTGTGGCTTCACCTTTGATTGAGTTGAGTAATTTCTTTCAAGAGTTCTGTTCTAAAGTTGGTATGGCACAAGACTTAATGTGTCTTGAAAGGCAAATTTTGATAACACTTTGTAAATTTGAAAAAATATCTCCCCCTAACTTTTTTAATATTATGGTGCATTTGGTGGTTCACTTAGCATCTAAGGCTAGATTAGCAGGACCTATGCATTATCATTAGATGTATTCTATTGAGAGGTAAAGTTTTTATTAAATTACATATTTCTTTACCATCATTATGATATTTTACTTCTGTTATTATTAAACATCATTTAAAATTTTGGTTTTTGAACTTACCAAAACATAGGTACTTGAGTAGATCAAAGTCATATGTACGAAATAGAAGTCGACCAGAGGATAGTATGGCAAAAGGATACCTTGCATATGAATGCTTGACATTTTTCTCAAGGCATATGGAAGGTGTTGAGACATGGTTCAACCGGATGTCTCAAAATTATGATGAGGGGGGAAATGGTACAGAAGGATTATCTATTTTCTCAATTACTGGCCGACCATTAGGTAAGGTTGTGATAAACACAATGGATGATGGCACAAAAGAAAAGGCACATCGATATGTGCTACTTAATTGTGAGGCAGTCAACAAATTTATTGAGTAAGACACTCCACATCTTTAATCAATTATTATTATTTTTACATACTTTTACACAAACTCACAAATCTTTTATATGGCATACAGACAACACCGTAGACTTTTGGCCATACAAAATCCACGTCTTCGTGAATGGCCATTGATCGCATTCATAGTGAAACATTTCCAACATGGTTTGATAAACATGTAAGTAGTGTTTTGAAGTTCTTTAAAATTTGACTTGATATTAACTTCAATTTCATTCCACAATTACAAAAGTTATGTCATCAATTGTCGAAAAACAGGTTGAGGAATTGCATAATGCAGGGGATAGCCAAATAACTGAAGAGCTTAGATGTTTGGCTCGTGGTCCAAATAGAATTTTCACAAAATATAAGCGATACTTGATAAATGGTTTCAGGTTCCATACTAAGGAGATTGAACGAAAGAGAAAATCTCAAAATAGTGGGATTATTGTGCAAAAACACGAAGCCTTGCAAGTGGTAGAGATGGAAATCCTATCTCGAGAGATGTTACATTTTATGGTGTGTTAATAGATATAATTAAGTTAGATTATTTGTTTGGGAAGAGGGTTGTGTTATTTAAAGGTGAATGGGTGACACAAGTAGGGAAAAGACAAGATAAAGATTGCACACTAGTCAACATTGCACGATTAATGAAAGATGTTGAGCCTTTTGTGTTGGCTTCTCAAGAAGAACGAGGTAATGTATGTAGAAGACCTCAAACACAAAGATCGGCAAGTTGCTATCAAGATAAATCCGAGAGATTTTTATGATATGAATGTGGGTCTTCTGTGGACAATGTGGAGGCATACTTGCTGAGTGTTGTATGCAATACACAAAGTGATAATGAGGACAGTAATTTTCATTTGGTTAGGACAGCCATGTTTGCTGCAGTTGTAGATGCACCACTTTCTCAGGTGTTGAGAGACAACGATGTTCATGATGATGGAGATGAAGATTTACATCTTATGTGACTATCAAACTTGTTGAACATTGCTAGTTATTTATATTTGAAAACAATTCTATAGTTTCCTTTCCCTCTCTTTCTTTATCATTGTTTTTGTTAATTTAATTGATTTTTGGAAGAATGAATAATGCATTTTTAATTTAACTATGTCATTTTCAAATGTGGCTACAAAATATTTATTCACTATATGTTACATTTAGTCACTATCAAGATAGCAGCGCAATAAAGGTAAATATACAATTTTTCTTTGTTAATTTTCTTTAAGTACTTTGTTCATTTGCAAATAATTTATTTGGATCATTCTAAGTTTACAATTTGATTTGTCTATTTTGCTTGAATCATACTAGGATTCATCTGTAAAGCAAAAACCTATGGACCCATATCTTCAATTTCGCTCAGGCAATGTTGGTGAGTTTAGTGAGTCAACTCCATCTAAGATTCAACCAAACTCTAGTCAACCCAATGATAATGCAGGTATGCAAGTTCAAACCTTATAAAAATGTCAGATTATTTCTTCATATATACTTTATTATTATTATTATTATTATTATTATTATTATTATTATTATTATTATTATTATTATTATTATTATTATTTATTTTTTATAACTAGATGGTGCTAGTGGACAAAAGAAAACTAGAGGCCCACTCAAATGCATAATATTTGGGGTACTCATGATGATAAGCGCCTAATAGTCAATTTGAACAAACTTGGCCAACCTGAAGACAAATTGACAACAAAGTTATCATCGTTCATTGGAACTATTGTGCTTGATGGGAAAAATGCACCACTCACTTACAAGAATTGGCATAAAGTCCCAGAACATTACAAAGATCACATATGGGCACTTGTACAAGTAAATGACACAATATTGTGCGAAGATCACATGTGAAAAATAGTAAACATGAGTAATATGATTAAAACAACACTCTTTATAATTTTTTATATTTTTAATTATTTATGTGGAAAGATTAATTTTATTTTATTTTATTCTTCTCTCTCTCTCTCTCTCTCTCTCTCTCTCTCTCTCTCTTCAGTCAAAGTTTGATCTTCCAAGTCATGCTAGGACTTGGGTTATGAAGTGTTCTGGTAAGAAGTTAAAAGACTGGAAGGCAAACATAAAGAAAAATTATTATAAAGACCACTTGAGTTTTGACCAACAAAAACATTATAAAGATGGTAGAGTATATGCTGGTCAGTGAGAACACCTTATTAAGTATTGGGCCATCGAGGAAGTAAAGGTATACTTGATCTGATCATTATATGTTCTTTTACTTGCAATAGTTTGGTCACCATTAATTTATGCATTTGTAATATTAGGCACAAAGTGATAAAAACAAAGCAAGTCGTGCAGAGCGAAAGTATAATCATACTACTGGAACAAAAAGTTTTTCACATGTTCGAAATGAGCAGGTTAATTAAGCTTTTCATGTTGTATATTTAATATGATAATGTATCTGTGATATGACAGAATGATATAATTTATCTTTTGGAATATATTATTTTGTAGAAGAATAAGTTGGGACACTCTCCAACACATGCTCACATGTTTAAGGTATGTTATACAAAGGCAACTGGAACCCCTGAGGCCACGAAAGCAATGATAGTATGTATCAAATAATTATCTATCCATTTGAACTTGTAGATTAGTTAAAATTCTCACATTATAGTGTTAAGTGATTGAAATGTATATTAAGTCATGTTTATTGTAAACTTATAGGATGAAATGAATGAGAGGACAACTTTAAATGCAAATTTGTCAAATGAGGGCCCAAACGATACATTTGCACAAGTGATGGATAAAGAAAAACATGGATGAGTTCACATGTATGGATTAGGTGTCTCCCCATCTAATTTATGGGGAGATACATCTGGTTATAAAGAAAACCAAAGCATAACAATGGATGCTATGGAAGCTAAAAATTTGGAGCTAAGGTTCAAAGTTACCCATATTGAGCATGCTCCAAATAACTTGACAAACACATCTAACCAAGTGATTTTTTTAATAGAATTTATAAGTTATTAATGTTTTCCTACACACACACACACACATAGATATATGCATGTCTATATATATATATATATCTATGTGTATGTGTTTGTAAAATTAATTAGTTCAAATTTGGTTAGGTCACAACAGCTTCTAGTCCTCTGGACATGGCAGCTCGACATCAAGTATGGTCGTTGTCATCGATACAAGATGTCTTTCTTACTCAGGTACCCACTAAGTGCTAATCATATGTATCGCATTACCTCCAGTTTTATTTTAGAATAGCACACAAAACTTGCCTTACAATTAACCAAGGAATGAATATTGTGGACCTAAATCCCATTGTTTAAATCTAGACAAAATGTGGTACATAGTAAAAATCATGACATGACGAAGCTTGTGCTTTTTTTTAATTTTTTATTTTTATTTTCTCATGAAGCTTTAACAAGACATATCTCAATCATTTATTACCGCATGGGCTCTTTTTGATTC